GTTGCATTCGCAACCAAAATTGCAAAAGAAAGACAGAATCTTTCTTTTTACACAAAGAGGGTTCTCCTATGACAAGCTGAGCTTTACGACGTTGATAGATTCATCTGAAGAGCTGGTGCAGAGGACGCAGGGGAACAGCGTACAAGAAAGACAGCCATCTATCTGTTATTTACACATTGATACAATAAACTGAAGCAGGACGCTGTGGAAGAGAGCAGGAGACGAGAACGCATTCTCGAACATCGCCACAGGAAGATAAGTCGATAACTGCATCCCTTCAGATCCGATCATCCACTTAATGGAATGTGTCGCGTCCAAGAAAACGGACGAGTGACGACCGCGGAAGCAGCCTCAGAGCTCGGGAGCCAACACTTTTACACAACGCGATGTCGAGGTTAAAATTTATCATCCCAGTTATGGCGCCGAAAGTTAAACTTGGTTCCTCGTCGAAGTCTGAAACTTTCTGTTGACGGTGAGATATTTTGTGTAAAATTGTCCCTCCCGGCCATTTTTCATTGTCTAATTTCTAAAACAACAGCGTTTCGGAAGCTCGATTGTCAACGAAACCAATGGCATGTCGCGTCCACCAAAATGCGTCCTGGCAATGTTTCTACGCAATAATATTTATTAAAAGCTATTTATATCATTCTACCCCTTTATTATTTCTGAAAAGTATAATTACAGAGATCTGGGCAGATAAAATGTTCTTTCTCGGATTCAAATATATGGACTCTGGAGTGTTTTATGAAGATACATGTCCACCCAGGTATGGAATGCAGTTAAGATGCGACTTGAATACAGAGATAGTCAGTAAAGAAATTGATTTGTAATACAGTTGCATAAAACTTTTATGAAATGCTGGAAACATGTTTAAAATCCTAAACAGCGAATTAAAAAATTTTCAGGTGGTTAAAATGCAAAATCACCATCGTTTCGAGAACCATCTTCGTCCTCAGGGTACTACAGCACCCTGAGTACGTATCTACAATTCTTACCAGAAACAGTTCCTATTTCAATAACATTCCTGTTTGTACAAAACTGTCATCAGCAAAATGCGCATTAACTGAATCCTAGGTTTGTTTAACCCAAAGGAAAAATTTTGGCTCAGATATCTCTTTGATCCGTTTTACTGCAGTGACATCTGTTAACCTAAAGACGTAGTGACAATATTTTACGCTTGGCAAACCTGGTTCAAATTACCGCCGCCCGCTCAAGAAGCTGGAAAGAGCTACATAACTTATCAAGTTTTGCCGAAACTTAGAGCTTATTTACGTAGCTTACAAAGTTCTAAGTATTCAGTGTAATCCATTCATTCTTCTAAAGAAATCGGCTAAGGAATAAACGCACATCTGAAACTGTTTCCACTGCATTCAAAGCAGCAAACATGATCGATTTTTAACACAATTCAAATCTCGCTCCGTCTGTCGTCTTGGCCAACGTCTTGCCTAATTTAACGAGTAAGGTCTGTATTTGGTACATTAAAAGTATTTATACATTCAAGACCATTCAAAATTTATTATGTTCTGCCCATAATTAATCGCTGTCAAGTGCCGATACGGTCACGTAATAAGGAATGTTCTTGCGGGGGCAGTGCAGATTCTTTTATGGGGGAACTGGGGGAAATATGACCAAAGTAAAGGCGATGTTTTAAAAAAAATCAGAATTCAACTCAGACAAAAGTATTCAAATACGATGGTCACTTGTTTGAGCCCTCTAGTACCAGTTTGATATATACTGACTTAAATTTAGCTTGTCTACAACGAAAAACAAACGACTTTGTCATCGTATTATCCCTGACTGTGGCTAATATAAACATCGTAACGTCGTAAAACGTTTGACACTTGTTTTCTTAACAAGATATCACACTATGGCGAGCTAATTCGTGAATTTGTATATATAATTTTTATTCCTGAAACACGCGTCACAGACACGCAACTTGAAATTTAAAGCATGTACAGAGAGATGTTAATATATTTGTCCGCGGAAAGACATCGACCAAACGCTGTTCTTAATGTCATTTAGATTTTATGTTTCATATTATTTCCACATTACAAATATTATTTTTCCCCTTTAATTCAAAAATAATTTACCAAATATCAACAGAGATTCAATTAAGAATTCTATTACAGTCATCAAATAAAACGCCTTTACGATAAACCCTATTCATATTACCTTCACAACGGATGATCACATGAACGCTGACATTAACCTCAAAATGTGGTGACCAGCAAAAATTGTTATGTTCTGTAAGTTAATTATGCGATCGAATCAAAAGTAAAGCTCGCATTTAATGATCACGTCTCAATCGACATTTCCAATATAAATAAAATAAATATATAAATCCTTCCATAGCAGCCAACAGAATGAGTCCATTGATTAAAATTCCACTACGTCACAGAAACGATAAAGTGATCATTTATCTACAGTGGTCATATTTACCCACATTCCCCTATGTACTACATTGGGCCCGATAAGAAATCAAAATCATGAAAGATTCATGACTGAACTTCCCTTAGGAGACCGAGAAATTCTACAAAACGACTAATAAGCTCACAGATAACAGGTAAAACCTCACACATCTGCATCACAGAGGTTCGTAACTCATTATAGATCATGAAGAGGGCATAATTTTTGTTACAAGCAGCGGTGAGTCTAAAGACGGCTGTCTTCTGGGTTACATCGCTCTGGTTTAGGAGGCTGCGTGGACCTCTGAAACGTCGGTAAACTCCTAGGACACTGCACGGCGCTACAACCCATCTTGTGCCGTCTACATACATGAACCGACTGAGAAGAATAATGGACTAAGATTTAAACTAAAAGCATGGCTTAACATGCAGTTTCAACTAGAGGTTCATGGTTCATGTCTCACCTGGAGTTGCGGTCAAATTGTTCGATATGCCACTTAAGCACGCTTCCTCTTTGGAATTCAGCCACTTCACTTGTTCCTCCGGACTCAGCACGTGGAGCCTTTCCTGCAAGACAGAGAATGTCACAAACCCTTCAGAAAATCTGTTTCAAAATTGCCCATGGCTTATCGTAATTAACATGACTGCCGAACAATCTTGTGTTCTGAGTAAAACCACAGTCGTCGTCACAAAATTGGATGTTTCAAGGTCATGGAAGGACCTCGCCCCTTCTTCGCGTGGCTCCAAGTCAACGGTACAGCTACGCTACGCTACGCTACGAGTTCTGAGTTGTCTTTAATCGCCTATCTCCACTGTTCTCGTTGAAATGACGTACACTTTTGCTGTGACCTTGAAGTGTGAAATTTGGTGACGGATGAAATAGCACCATAATGAAATTGCGCATAAAAAATATCCTTAAAAATTACATAACAAATATGAAAAGCTTTCTTCTCCTTAAACTAGCATCGAGAATATAGAAAGAGACTTCGGACTCCACAGTAGTAATATTTTAATTAATCACAAGAAGAATTCTGAACTTTGGGTCTGCATATCAATATCTTCTGGCTCCCCACTTCCTTTGTAACACCGCCTGATACCGGATGTGTGAATGCCAAGACACAGATGAATCTGGAATGTTCAAGTACTGATTCAAAAACACAATTTTCAGCAAAGTCAAATGAGACTTTAAGGTTTTATTTCTGTGCAGACTTTAAAAGGTAATTTGTCTCATCTTGTGGTCAATAAATTCGTATATTATTTACATCTGAAGACGTGAAATGGACTTACATGCACCCATAATTTTTAACGCGAGATTTAAGGCTTAAATTCTTGATGATAATAATTCTTCACGTAGACTTGTATCTTCTGTCACCAACAGAAATCATCTGTGGTGTTTCACGTGTTAAAGCAGCACGTCGGAAGAAATGTCATTTAACCCTGAATGGTAACGCGGATGATTCATGAAATATTCCAAGCCAAACTACGAAAGCAGTTTCAAAGGTCATGAAGAATGTATTTAGAACAAATAAGAATCAATTAATTTGGCGCGAAAATACATTCAAAGGCCATTTTGTAAAGAAAAGCCATTATATTTAACGTTAAAGACGTGGACGGAAAATGAAAACATTTCTCTGCACGTTTAATAGACAATGCGAAATGTGAGCCACGAGCACAGGCGAACAATAGGCTGCATTTTCACGTCTCGCTGGGGCTTCAGAGCACATCACAGAGCCCGGGGAAGGGGGGGGTGCTTCTGACAAGTCCGAAAACCGATACAGAGATGTTGGCCAAGTACACAGGAGACAAGAAAATTGGAACGCCCACTCTGCAAACGAGGAAGCAATTAAAACTCTCTCTCCAGAGGAGTTTATAAAGCCTTATATTCCAATTTTACTTACAGAACAACATACAAACTTCAATTGTTTTTTATTGTGAAAATTTTGGTTTCTCGTTGTATATAACGAGAGTGAGGGTGTCTGATGACTGATGTTACGACACGAAGTTCTTGGTCGACCAAGGTTTCGGTCCGGAAGCTGCTTGAACTTCTGAAGACGTAAATGCCACAAGAAGGAACAAGTGACTTTAGAGGAGCTTCGCAAAGTTATCACGGTACTTCGTCTTACTGTCCCTTCCCAGAAAATATTAATTTTTAATTATGTACTCACACTTTAGTACTCGGAAGATTTGTGGTTCAATTCTCAGCTCGAGAACCGGCTGTCCTGACTGAGGACTCTCGTGTCTCTCCTTGGACCTTTCAGGCAAATGCCTTAAACTAGGCCACGACCACTTCCTGTCATGTGATTTCCAGTCAAATGTTCTTCAATCATGTTCTACTATGACGCCCTATAGTCCAATTAAAACTGCAATAATATGACTACTTTAAACTTACATTTTTCAAACTGTCTTCGTAAATATCGTCAGGGTTAAATATGTTCGGATGATCATAAAGAAGTCTGTACTTTGAAAAAAAAACATACGCTTACCTCTTCCAAAAAAATATCTCATTTCACATGAAAACAATGGAATACAAGTTCAAACTTAATTTCCAACCTCACAGCTTATTAATTAGTTTTGGTGAACTGAATTTATATGCGAACTGTACTCAAAACATTTACTATGGACCACGATCTGACACGAATATTTTCGTATGGAGATTATTTGGGATGAAATCATTCAAAATTGTAAGCTTACTTCTTATTAAATAATTACGTACTGAAATAAGCAATTTTGAACCAAGCGATAAAATGAAGACCACAGCATCCGAAATGCAACTCCTTCTCTTAGCTTCAGGACACAAATGATGAGCCGGCTATCAGGCTTTAAAAGTTAGCGACGTCTTCTGCCTGACGCTGAGGATCAGACAGAAGTAAGGAACTTCAGAATACGGAGTCCTCTCATCATAAACTTTACCTCAAGCACAGATCTCGTGGTTTCAAACAATTACAACTACTAAAGCCATTCTTCGAATATTATAATTAGGATTTAATTAATTAATTAAGACAGATCGAATAAACACACAGTAATACAAGTGAAAGTTTTAGGGTACAGTCAGTCACAAGGAAAATGTCAATTCAGTGTACAGCCATGACGATATGATCTGACATTAATCATAAATATTCGTTGTTTGATATTTTAATGCAGTAAAGTGTTGCAACAAATATGGGTGTTGCCTGGCATCCCGATATCATAACGTTCATGCCACTTTTCGTAAAAATTTGTCGAGTGGCTAATAAATTGAAAGCGAGACAATTTAAGTCTTGCCGACGATGAAGGAAAGCAGGCCCATATCATCGCTTATAATTAAATTTCGAAACGTTTCCTGGCTATTTGAACGTGAAACTGAAGAAGGTTCTTTGGGGGGGGGGGGCACTAGAATATAGGAGCACATAGTCTATAAAGCTTAAGGCGTCGACTGCTAATAAAACTTGTCAATAAAATAAAGATATTTTTTTATTTTTTAAACAAACAAAACGATGCTCTACATTGCCTCTTGAGAGAAGTACAACAGTTGATAAATTTCGACGTTTTACCCGACATTAATGGAAGGGAATTTATATTTATACAACGTATGTGAACAGATATTATATTTAATTTCAATTATACACTTAATTATTCACAATATAAAACGTTTTAACCAAAGCCGGCTTTTTATTTATTAACAGAAATTTTTGTTTTTCTTCGAAATACGTGTGATTATAACATCGTGAAACTCACTGTAAACATAGATTACGCCAGTTTCGTAAACAAGGCGTATTGCAGGCGTGGAGGGAAAGGTCCCCCGGCTACTCAAAATGCATACGTACAAAGCAAGTTGGCCGGATGAGACTTTCAGCAAATGAAAAGAGTCTGATACATCTGTTCACGCTAACGAACCCTGGACCTCCAGCTAGCATCCACGTAGACATCACTTTCATTATTATCAATGCTAGTCCGTGCGTTGTCAATCATATACTTTTGCTCTGAGTTTTCAAAGATCGTCCATTAGAGCAACACACCTTTCTCATGAAACTATAATCAACTTCCGTGGAACAAGAACATCTTCCTGATGATGGAGGCTATAAGGATGTCCGAAACGTTGGTAAAATTCCTCCAGACGACAGAGACAGCAATATTCAAGGACGAATTTCTTTACAGCACTGATTGCGGACGGGAAGTTTGTAACAGAATAAGTGGCCTTTAATTGTAATTATAAATGAAGTAGGTTTATCACGGGGGTTAGTCCGAAGACGTTGGTAAAATTCTACCAGACTGTACGGCGCTACAACCCGGGAGACAGCCATCTTACCTTCTCAATCTGTTCTCTCATGACAAGTCTTGTCTTGAAAGGGAGTTTGTTTGCATTGATACAATTATGTGCTCTGACATTAATTTGTCTGTTGGGCAAAGAAGACGTGACTAATGTTTATTTAAGCAAAACTGCGTATTATGTAAAGATTAGAGTATTATACTCAAAAATGTTTTATGAATCGGGGTTTCATAAGGAAGACTTTTCACGTCTTTACAAGACAGGCACATTCGTGTTATGTGAGTTAATTACAGAGTTGGTACCAGGAAAGCGAATGAAATTTCCTTTCGCGATTTTCCACTCCTGGGACTGTTCCGCGGTGAGTCTATTTATCTTTGTGTGTCTTGACTGCATCGATTTGTAGTTTGCTTTCAACTCCAGCGTCGTGCAACATCTCTCCACAGATAACTTTCACAATTCAACACATTTTACTGTTTACTTCTATCAACCGTGTGGAATACTACCAGATTCCTTTTGAAAATCAATCCAACCTACGTTTGTTATTATCATTGTATTTAAAATAAAAATTACTTGTCTTCACGTTGATGAAGTAGGAAGCAAGGACCTCTGAAACGTCGGTAAACACAGAAGACAGTCATATTTGGACTCGCCAGCGTTAAAACCTCAAATCATAATTTAACATGGATTATTTTGCAAACGGACTTTTATAACATTATTTGAAATTACATTTTCAACACTACAATATTCGGCGGGTTTCAAATTGTATATTTGACTGTTTTATTTTTTATTTTTTTTGGAATGCTAATTTCTGATATATTACACCATTTCTATATAATAATATTACTCTTCTTAAGTACCTAAATAAATTAAATAAACTGAATCTGAGTAAGTGGCAGTGTGGTAACATCGTTGCAAATTATACACCATGAAAAATATGTACACACGTTTTCAGCCACAATACATTCATCACACTCCAAATTTATGTTGATTTATATTTTAAAATAATTGTTTTAATTTCAATGTTACAACTTATACGACAGACGAATCTGAGATCACTTAAAATTAACTCCTTTCAGATCGCACATCACTTTCCTCACTGTGCTCAGAATGGTTCTAAAAGTTGCTCATATATGGAGCCAGTGGTCCACCTGGACTCGACACTTTTCACTCGAAGATCTCGGGGAAAAAAATTCCTTGGGACCGAATCCTTGTCGTTAGTGAACTGACCCAGAACGTCTGCCCCTAGAAGGTCGCCAGGATCCTGAGAGATCCACCCTCTGCTGCTTCCCAGCGGAAGTGGATCCAGGATGACAGAAGGAGA